TTTATTCATTTACTTTTTTGCCAGTCCTGGGGCTTGAACCCAGGGCTTGGGCACTGTCCCCGAGCTTCTTTAGCTCAAGGCTAGTACTCTACTACTTGAGCTACAGAGCCACTTTCAGCTTTTCTGAATAGTTTATTGGAGATGAGAATCCCACAGCCTTTCCTGCCTGGGCTGGCTTTGAATTGCTATCCTCAGATCATAGCCTCCTGTGTAATTAGGATTACAGGTGTGACCCACTAGCACCTGGCTCTCCCATCACTTTTTAATATGTAACCATACTTGTTTCATTTATATGTCTAATGTTATCAAACTTTTACCTAGTACATATATATATAACAGAGGGAAGTGTACACACGGGAATTTAGAAGGGAACAAAGGAAGAGACTAGAATAAACACATTACCCTTGCATGGTAGGGGCAGTGGCATGGCCTATATGTTGTTCTCGTTGCTCTACTCACCTCAAGCCCACACACATGTAATTTCAGGCTTTCTAAAAGAGCAATGAGTCTGCTTTCACCTGTGAAAGTTGCTCAGGGCAGAATGATGAAACAGAGCTCTGTGAGATCCATGAAACCACAGAACATAATTCAGTCTCCTCACTTCCTCCTAAGCAGGAAGAGGGCACTGATGACACTGGATGAGATGATTTGGAAAACAAGAGACCCAAAAAAGGGCAGCAGAGGAGTGAATTCTGGATCTCCAAATTGATCAAAGCCTGAGGTATTAGATAATCAGAAGATAGCCCAACAAATGAAGTCTCCTGCCTTACATCTTCCATCATGGGCTGTGTAATGGCACATCCTTCATTTCTCACACTTCACCATTAGACGCCAAACCTCGAGGATTTATACTTGAGTTCTTAGGATTGAATAGGACTCAACATTTCTCAAGTCATTGTCTCTATGATTCCATCAGGAAGTTCCCTCCCTTCTTTAACCTGGATTTTATGACACTCATAGTTTTGCTAGAGTCCATGATGCATAGAGTGGTTTGGTGAGCAGGAAGACTGGATTGAAATACTTCCCATAATCAAGTAGCAGCTTCTCTACAGACTGCTCTACGAGATGAATATTTATCATTAAGACTTCTGATCTCATAATAACCTTTTAGAATATATAAAATATCTGTCACATTCTGTTCTGACCAGAATATACAGAGTTTCCGTTCTATTCTTGGCCTCATAAAGGGGCCAGCACGACAGCTTTGTGGGTATAGGCCAAGAATAGCACAACTTTCCTCCCACCTGCAGATCTTGATCTGCATTAATGGCAGCTACAACTGCACTAGAGGATAAAATAGTCTCCAAGTCCCTAAAGCATGTGCAAGCTTTATCTAAGGAAGTTGACAGGAAATTCCCAAAGCTTCACAGCAACAGTATGGGTGAGAGGATTACCACAAGCATCAGGTAGGTGAACAGCTCTTCCCAGTGCTCTAGGGCATGTGAACTTAAGTGTGGCTGGGGAATTCCTCCATGTTGAGTCCTGACACCGCCCCCTCTCTTGCATCCTTGCTTCAACTTCCTGCCAAACAGTGTAGCTGAAAAAGGAAAAGCACACTAGAAAATCTATGCTGTTTGATTGAATGGTCTCTAAAGACTTGATTGGGCCAAGTCTCAAAAAGGAAGCATTCTAAGAGAGGGATGTTTCTTGCTTTTTTAAAATTTGGATTTGCTTATTAATCTACATGGTGCTAAAATTTACAGAGATGTGTGTGTATGTGAGTGTGTGTGTGTGTGTGTGTGTACATGCATGTATAGGTCCTGAAGCTTGAACTCAGGCCATGGGCACTGTCCTTGAGCTCAAAGTTAGTGCTGTACCACTTCCGGCTCTTTTGATGACTAAGATAAGAGACTCAGACTTTCCCTGCCAAGGCTGGCTTTGAAATTGCAATCCTCATATCTCAGCCTCCTAAGTAGCTAAGGCATGAGCCACTGGCAACTGACCCACAGGGATCTTTAGTAGTATTTTGTTCCTCTGGCCAGTGCAGCACTCCTGAGATGAACATAGTGGAATTGCAGAGGAAATCTGCTCCCCTCTTGGTATTACTTCCTGTCCAATCCAGTTGTGGCATTTTGAACTTCCAGACTAGGCAGGTTGCTAGCAAATGTGTTATTTTTCCCCAGGATAGAAATTTGGAACCTATTTACATTGTAGGATTATTATACATTGTGGTACACACATTCACACACAAACAAGCCATCTGTCCACATTCTTCTCTAAGGCCTGCAGCAAGCCACCTTGACAAATGTCCAGTAGGGCACAATGTAGTGTGGACCTCTGGACCAACGCTAAGTTTCTTTCCCCCATGCTGTAATGATGGAGCTTCTTCCCATGGGAACCTTGTACTAGCAGACAAATTCTGCATCCAGTGACAGTCATAAGACAACAAGGAAACCAGAAGTTGTCTGCTTTGCCATAATGTGCTGACCAAAAACCACAGTACACAAGCAGCGGGAATGTTTGGTCATTTTCCTTTGTCTCTGTGAAAGAAAAAAGAGAAACTAGTTATGCTTAAATAGGAAGGACATTACATACCCAGACTTTCGGGAATGTTCAACCTTCATGTTATTAATATCTTTTGAAATAGCAAGGCATAAAGGTCAGTTCAGATCAAACATCTGTGGAGTGTTACTTGTTTATCAAGAGGTAAACATGAAAGAAAGCAACAACAAGGAGGAAGCTCCCAGCCATACTGGAGTAATGTGCTCTCCAGAAATGACTAGTAGAGCCAGGTGCTGGTGGCTCACACCTGCAATCCTAGCTACTCAGGAGGCCGAGATCTAAGGATCATGTGTGAAGTCAGCCCAGGCAGAAAAGTCCCTGTGAGATTCTTATCTCCAATAAACTATTCAAAAAAGCTAGAAGTGGCATTGTGGCTGAAGTGATAGAGCACTAGCCTTGAGCACAAAGAAGCTCAGGGACAGCACCTAAACCTGAGTTCAAGCCCCAGGACAGGCAAAAAGAAAAAAAAATGATCTTGAGGAAACTGGGATGCAAATAAATTATTGGATATAATGATATAAATAAACACATGCCCGTGTTAAAAAATGTGTTTCCTCAATTGTAGGGAGTAAATAATCTTCTAGTACATTATTGGCAATATTTTTTCTAATAAGTCTGTTGTTTGTGTAGAATTTCTGCATTAGGGGGATGGATGATAGTGTGCTGATGGGCAGGTATACATGTGTACTTATTTGTCTGTTGATTTTTCTTCTTATAATGACAGTGGTCAAAAAGTCAAAAGACTCTGGGCATATATTTTCATTTTAACCCCAACTTTCTATAGAGTATTTAAAAATTATTTTAAAAAGTTATAATAGCATATATTAATAGTATAAAATAATGGTTTCATTTTGACATTTTTATATACAATCTTTTGTCCTCTCTTTTGTCCCCTTTTCTCTTCCCAAATAGTCTCCTTTCTACCTTCATATTAGTTTTTCTTTTAATATAGAGTTCACATATAAGAGAAAATTTGTGGTATTTTTCTTTCTGAGTCTGGTTTATTTCAGTTAACATGATGACTTTCAGTTCCATCCATTTTCTTGAAAATGACAGGGTTTCATTCTTCTTTATGACTAAATAATAATCAATTTTGTATTCACTTCACATTTTCTTTACCAATTTTGGTACCTGGGCTTATTTCATAACATGACTAATCTTTTAAATATAAATTGAGGTTCTATCTCATGCATAAAACTAAACATATTAACAGGGCACTATGTAACATGTATACCTTTTATAAAGGTTAAATTAGATTGTACATATCTATATTTCTAAAACCTTGTCATTTGTTCATGTTGACCATCAACATTTTTTTCTTCTAGCTTTTTAAATATACAACATTCATTTGTGTTATCTATAGTCATCCTTCTCTGTAATGGCAGAAGAGCTTTGTGCTCTTATTTACATATTTATGTGATACTGAGGACCAAACCACAGGTTCAAGAGCCTACTTGGCTTGCATACTTGGCTGGTGCTCTAACACCAGAGCAGCCCTGCTACTCCAGCCCTGTTTTGTACTGGATATTGTGGAGATGGGCTCTCATAGACATTTCTGCTCAGGCTGGCTTTGAACCTTAGTCTTCCAGATCTTAGCTGCTTGAGTGGCTAAGATCGCAGACATAAGCTACCAGTGCACAGTTCTTGCTTCTGTCTAATTCTATCTTATTACGTTTTAATGTTCCGCTTGCCCTCCCTCCAATTCCTCATACAATTCCTCTATTTGTGTATTATGCAGATTTCCTCAGATTACGATGAACTGTTTTTAACCTTTTATTTTTTTTATCTAATAAACCATCGTTTGCCAATAGGTCACAAAGCCAGGTGTCACTCATCTTGTCTCCTATTCCTTAGTCTGTGGCAATCACCTTCTTAGAGTCTGGTAATGACAAAACTTTTCACGCTTATTCTATGACACCAAAAATCATGAATCAGCATGTACATAGAGCTGAAAGAAATTTGGACAAAATGTAGAGAACGTAACATCTCCATAAGGCCATCTGCTCTTGTCCACCTGTATTAAATTAAATGAAGAATGGCCTTCAACTTCCTGGAAGACAAGCCAACAAGTGGGACAACAACAAGGGAAGGGGTAACAATGCTCAATAAGAAATGTAGTCATTGCCTTACTCATGTAAACTCCAACCCCTCTGTACAGCATCTTTACAATAAAATAAAATTAAAAGAACAGATAAACTAGGTACCAACTAAAAAAAACAGACAAGGTAACAAAGGGCAACACTATCAAAGCAAATATATGATGCCGTCAGATCAAAATACCCATTCTGGATGGTCTCCACTTCAATTGGCTAGACAGACCTGCATTCACCTTCTCAAAGGACCACTCCCTGGAAGACAAATCACAAATTCCATTGCCAGTGATAATGTGGATAGCTCAGTTACTCCTGAAAGATCCAAGAACCAAGTATTTAGCCACAAAAAGTCCCTTAGGTGACATGAACCTCATGGAAAATTTTTGTCTTTATTACCTATTTTTTTTAATATGGAATGCTTTCACAAATTCGAGCATCATCCTTGCACAGAGGCCAGGCTAATCTTCTCTGTTTTGTTCCAATGTTAGTATATGTGCTGCTGAAGCAACTACTTACCTCAGTTTTTCAAATTTTTTGTTCTAAAATGCTAACTCTAGCCATGTGTTCATTTTGCCATTTATCTCATGAAGCCCCACAGGAAAAGCCGCATTTGAAGATTGGTGTTTTCTTTTGTTTGTTTGTTTTTGTTTTTGCCAGTTGTGGGGCCTGAACTGCGGGCTTGGGTACTGTCCCTCAGCTCTTCAGCTCAAGTCTAGCGCTCTACCACTTGAGCCACAGCACCACTTCTGGCTTTTTCTGTTAATGTGGTGCTGAGGAATCGAACCCAGGGCCTCATGCATGCAAGGTAAGCACTCTACCACTGAGCCACCTTCCCAGCCCCTTGAAGATTGTTTTATGTAGTATAACATCACCCAAAATAAAACAAAGCAGATTTCCTCAGCATACTGCATATGACAACAAGTGCTAAGATATGGCTGGTGTCCAACATTGCGTCTGCTTCAAACATTTAGTTGGAAGAGAAAAGACATAATTTTTTTTTACAAAAGAACACAACCGATATGTTCAAGTAAAACAGAAAACAATTGCTGAAACCACATGCTTCGTTTTACCTTCAGTCTTGCTGTGATTTCAAGGCTTGATTTTGTGTGTGTGTTGGGGGGGGGAGGTGTGGGGAGTCCTATGTCTGTGTTTTAACCACAGGGTAACAGACAGCCAAAGGCAACATTCCTCTCTCATGTTACTCATGCAATGCCTTGTGATGAGCGGTAAGAGAAGTAAAGATATAAACAAAAACAAGTTCCAGACCCTCAACACCATGGTTTTTAATGATTTCATGAGGCAAACATTGCAAAAATGTGCACTGCTTACTTAATAGACAAGGGCATGTGCAATGCAAAGCATTCTTTCCATAAAAGAAGTACATAAAATGTAAATAGCCTAGTTTTATTTTCATCTTGTGGGGGTGATTTGTGGGGTAACAGAGATCTTCAGACATTTAATTTCCAAGCATAGGACATGAATACTAAATCCTTTTGTCGTTGTTTGTTTTTGTTTTTGTGTCAGTATTGGAGCTTGAACTCAGGGCTTCACACTGCTGCTTGGGTTTTTCACTCAAAGCTGATGCTCTATACCTTGAGCCTGATTCCTGGATTTTTGCTTCTTAATTGGAGATAAGACTCTCACAGATTTGTCTGCCAGGACTGGCTTTGATTCTTGATTCTCAGATCTCAGCTTCCTGAGTAGCTAGGATTACAGGCGTGAGTTACCAGGAATAATCCTGAGTTTTGTGTAGTCTCCAATCTAACACTGTGTTACCACTTTGCACTCCAATTTCCTCATCTAAAATTAAGTTATTGTATGAAAGGCAGTACTTAAAGTTAACTCCGTTTTAAATTTAGTATATAGTTTGTTCAGAACTACCTGTTGAAAAATCTATGTATCTATGTCTCTATCTATGTATCTATCTATGTATCTATCTATCTGAGACAAACTGTCTTACTAAGAGGAATGTGAGTTTAATTTGCACACTATGATTTGTGCATGAATGTACAAACCTTTGTACCATAATTCTTAATGTTTCTACAGGGGAAGATGTGTTCAGTGATACAATCCCTGGATCAATGGCCATAGGTTTATGAAGTTTTAACAGCATTTGCCATTGTGCAGGTTTGTCTTCTGATTTCTTAGAAATGGAACTGGTGATAGATATTTCATAGTCCAATTAGAAAGAGAAAGATAATTTTTACAAGCTAAATATAGTTTACTTTTGTAACTGATCAGTGACTAATGTAAAAGTAAATATTGTTTCAATATCTCAGTTTATATACTACATCTCTAAGATATAGCTAATACTTTTATGAGTTGGTGTCAATATATTACAGCCCAATATATCCATGAATATTTTTCAGATATATCATCCTAAGTAAATTTTAAGTTTACTTATGTTTAAAGGAAATAAATCTTATTTACTTGTTTTTCTATTTTGAACTCAGGGCTACTCACTCACTCAGCTTGCTTTTTTGTGTATGCTGGTGCTAGGGCTTGAACTCTGTGGGCCTAGATTCTATCTTACAGCATTTTTGCTCAAGTCTACTGCTCTGTCATCCAGCCACAGTTCTACTTCCAGCTTTTTGGTGGTTAATTGGAGATAAAAGTCTCACAGACTGGCTTTGAACCATAATCCTCAGATCTCAGCATACTGAGTAGTTAGGATTACAGGTGTGACCCACCAGTGCCTGGCTTACTCAGCTTTCTTGCTTATGGTTGTCTCCCTTGAGCCATGCCTCCAAGCTGGTATCTTGCTGGTTAATTCAAGATGAACGATCATGGACATTCCTACTAACTATATATCTCAGCCCCTTGAGCAGCTAGGATCATAAGTGTGAGCCTGATTTGTCATGGTTTTAATAAATGTGTTCTTTATGCAAGAGAGAAAAAATGAGAGGAAAGAAGCTCTGCTAACATTTTAAAAAAGTTGAAGGGGGACAAAATAAGTTTATCATAGTTTGTGATAAAGCCTCATTTATATATTTAAGATAACTTGCATTATACTTATTCCACTCAGTGACTAATTCTTATAGTGATATTCTTTGTTTATACAAACTAGGTAAGAAAAGAACCAAGACTTCAAACTGAATATGGTAGAGTGTACTTCCAAGTTTACCTTAACTTTTTCCAGAATCCTCTTTTTTTATTGTGAAAATACCATACATAGGGGTTACAATTACATGGGCAAGATAATGAGTACATTTCTTGTCAAGCATTGTTGCCTCCTCCTTTGTTTCCCCTTCCCATCCCTCTTATAGAGCAAAATACCAAGAAATCATTAGCAGTACTAGACAGTGGCCAGTTTTTGTTTGAGCAACTGTTAAATTCTCAGAACCCCTGAAAGTCATTATCAAAATGGGGAGGTATTTATAATAGGAGTATTGCACATTTGATTTTGGCAAGTGTTCAGATCAGAGCTTTTTCTTTTCTTTTTTCTAATAGCACCATTTAACTGAACACCCATGTATAAATCCGTGAGGAAGGAGACAACTGGGACATGAGGAAGGTAAGTAGGTCACATGGGATTCTCAATATGAATTAAAGTGATGGAGCAGATATGCCAGGGGAAACTGCATTAGTGGAGTTAAGTAAGCAAAGCAAGATGTATGCCCTTCTGCCCTCCACACCTTGCAATGTTTATGAATTTGAGCCCTCAGTTACCCATGAAAGCAGAAGGGCAAGGTAAAAGCAGGTGAGGAGGCTGAAAATCTATTAAGAGAAATAGATTTTTATATGCTCTCAACTACCACACAACATCACATAGTTTTATTATATGAGAGTTGAGGCTGGCTATCCAGGATACAGAGAATACTTTTAGAACAAGACCATTTGGATTTTTTTTTACTAAGAAAGCTATCATAATTTATTTTTCATGTGTAAGCAAAATTTACTCCTGTATTTAATTATAAAATAGACAAGAAGTTAGTTGTTTGTTGGTAGTGGGGATTGAACTCTGGACCTGGGAGCTGTCCCTCATCTCTTCAGCTCCAGGCGAGCGCTCTACCACTTATAGAGCACAGCACCACTTCCAAATCCCAGCATTTGGAAGGTAGAGACAGGACGTTCATAAGTTTGACTCCAGCCTGAACTACATAGCAGGACCTGGCCTCAAAAATAAGATAAAATAAACAATCATACATATATAACATATTAAGAGTATTGGCATGGATACTCTTAATATTGAAGGATGAAAGAGAAAAAAATAATACCTAGCAATGGTAAGTAACAAGCTCAAATTATTGCTGATTCTTGGCAGGGGTGTAAATTGATTCAGTTGATTCAGCTGGCAAAGAGTATACAATGTCTTCAACTATTTAAGCAAATTTTTATTTATACATGGGTATTTTTCATGATAATGTATTTTGTATATATTGTAGTATTGCTTGATAAATGTTTGTACACACACAATCAGCTAAGAGAAGCTGAAATTTAGAGTAGCTGATTCTGTCACCTGAGTTGCAGGAGACAAAGTTTGTGCAAGTTAGGCTCTGTAGCTTCTATTTTATGTGTGAGGCCAGAGAAGGCGCTATTTGAAGGTGATAAAAATTTTACCACAAACTAAGAAGCTTCCACTCTGTATGGACAGTTGGAATCTCTAGAGAAATATGTGCTCTCTGTTAGTAGAATCAGGAAGTACACAATGAGTTTACTGAGGTGAGATAGGGAAGTCTCAGTCTGTCTGATGCTCAATCTCTTGTTCTCTATCTGGGTCACTGTCTCTCTGTGTCTGTCAAACTGTCTCTATCTTTCCTATTGCTATGGCAGGAATGATCTTTGTAAACATGTAAGGTACACTATTTAGTTTTATGTCATAGGTTGCAATTATTCTCTCATACTCAAAACCTAAAAGTGGGGCCAGAATAAAATCTTAGACTATACATCTCCATCTTATCTAAATAAGATGGAGATGTAAACTATTTTTGCAACAGTTAATGAAAATATCTTCTTGATTGTTGTGTTGTTTGAAAGATGCCAGCATAGGAGATATTGCAAGCTTGTTACATACTGCACAACACCTTAAGAGACTGAGAAAGAGTACTAGTCATAAGGTGAAAAGCCAGGCCTCAATCTTTCTTTCCTACAAAATGAATATTTGTACAAAATTATTTTAAAAATGCTTACACTATTTTGGAAGACTTGACTCAAATTTTGGAGTCGTTGCTAGAACTTCCTTCCTACTGTATTGAGCTGTTGTGTAGTCAGTTGTATTAACAAGAAAAACTTAACCAATGTATTGACAGCAGTCATCTGCTTTTACTATGTTACCAGTCAGAAAAATCTATACTTTGTATATAAACTGAACAATTGACCACTTCCCCTTTCTAGTAAATAAGAAGAGTCTCAAATGGTGAGGACATTGATTCTTTTTAAAACCAGAAATCTAAGAAGCAGCAAGTGAACTAGTAAAGACAGTTTGCAAGGTAGCCTAGCTCCTCTGCCTCTGTCATATTATTGCAAAATAGATATTGCTCATCAATTGGACCAAATATTACCACACAT